GATAAGAGGAGCAGAGGAAGGAGAAAGAGAAAGGGTAGTTTATGGTGCTGAGTCACACTGTTGCCCAGACAGATCTGAGAGCAGAGTAGGCAGGGTTAGAGCAGGCACAAGAGTGATCAAGGAGAAATCTCATTGCTTTGGGCGTCACCGGCCAGCAGGGTCACTGCCTGCAAGCTCTGGGAGCTGAGCTGGCAGAACTTAAACAGAGAGAGTGGGGGGGGAAATCTTGATGTTGACTCTCCAGACAGGCAGTAAAATTGAAGTTATGAAAATAGTGAAGCATGGCAGAGGGCCACCGAGTTATGTCAATTTTCCAGAACTGCAGTTTGGACTGTGAGCAAAATGTGCTGGGAGTGTCGTATCTGCTGTGTAAAATCAATATATATTTATGGATCAGGTGTGTGAGATAAGGGAATGACAGGCAAACATAGATACATAACTGTCGCTTAAGCCACTATAGTACAGGTTTTTTAGGGACCTGATGTGCCTTTCTGATTTTAGCATGCACTAATGAAAAAAGACTGAGGAGCAATGAAAACACTTGAAATGTGTTTTTACAGAGATGGTTTCATCTGTTGGACTGGATGGTCGCAATTGCACAATAGCTAATTCAGGCTTCCTCAGCAGCTCTTTCAAGGCTGAGAGCTGTTGCTGGACGAGTATTGTGCACAATAAAATGCATTCTGCATGTTAATGCCATTTTAGGCATGTCCTATATCAAGCCTAATTTCTACAAGCATCCCTCATCCACACTAAGCTAACGGGACTCTGCCCCGTGCTGCGTTTGCATCAGCGCAGCCCTGCTGCATGTTGTCTCAGCACCAGTGGGTGCTGTAGTTACGGGTATATCCCGGCATCTGTTTCCCCTCATCGTCGGACCGTTTAAAGAGGTAGACGGGCTGAAGGGTGAAGGGCTGGAGCCGAACATGGAACAACTCACGCGAAGTGCCACCCGGAGCAGCAGCCTTCTCACTCAGTCTTGCTCTGAAATTGTTTAGACCGAAGGGCTTTGCATGGCTGTGAAATCGTTTCTATCAAGTGCTAATACAAGGAAACCCCAGAGAGTTTCTCAGTCAGAAGTTCGCTCTTAAAACTGTTGTTTTGTCACATTGCTTTTAGGTAAGTTTGTGCGGTCTTTTAAAATTGAATGCCACGTTTTGGTACAGTCCTCAAGCCAAATCCATAATCTTGCCATCGTTGGTGCAAGTTTTGCTGAGAGCAGTTAGTCATATGTTTGGGTCTGAGAACTCTATAGGCTTGTGAAGAGAAAGGGCATTATTTATGGGTACATTTCTGGTCCTGGCATCGTCTGTGGTCCTGAAGAGGAATCTTTGACATTCAGGTTGAGTCTTTAGAGCCCGGAAGGATCTCGGAGCTCCTCCTAGTGAGTTCATACTGTGGCTCAGAGATGAGCTCGCCTCAGGGGGGTTGGGGCTGGTGAGCGGTCAGTGCACAGCAGCCCTCGGTAAGGACATTTTTGGCCAAAGATGTGGGTTAAATCCAGGTCATATTGTGTGTTCAGCTAATTTGCTTGTAGTTTCTTTGGCAAGGACTTGGGGATGTGCACACGTGCACAGGTCCACATATGCTTTCCATCTCCTCCTGTGTGGAAGCAGGCACCGCTCCTGTTTTTCCTGTGTAGGATCTGTGATCTATTCTGGTAGCTGCGTAGCGCAGCACTGCCTCCAGTAAATATTCACAGATTTCCTTACAAGCTGATGCTTTTTTTTCTTTCCTCTCTCCTGTGTGGATACACAAAGGCATGTGTTGTACCTGCTTTACCCTGTGGGATCTACATAATCAGGTCCACGGGTTTTAATGGATTTCAACTCCCTTCTGTCTACGGATACCGTTTCCTGTCTCGTTTTGAGCAGGAAGAGCCGAGTCTTTTTTGGTCTTAGCGTTCCTGCTTGCCTAGGCTTTGGGAAGAGTTCTCTGGCTATTTTCCTGTTTGATTTTTTGTGTGTGTTTTGTTTTAAGAAGGACAGAGTGCATGTGTGTATGTAATCCATGTGCTCAATTAAGAGAGGCATCTGTTGGGTTTATTTCACATTGCCGAGGAAGGACTGCAAGCAGGGAGCATCTGCTCGGCTTTTTGTCAATGGCTTGTTTTTCATAATTTGCTCTACAGGGTGAATGTTTGGGGAGGAGGAGGTGGCTTTTTATTTCTGAGTTTCATCTTAAATTTATTTTTATGGTAGCCAGGGAAATTGGCTGGGATTCGAAAGTTAATTTCGCTAAGAAAAGAACTGAAGAGGGAGAAACAAAACCGTCCAAAGTAAATAGTATTTATGTAACCTTAATAATACACTCAAGGCCCCTTATAGACCGTTATTTGCAGTATTTTAATGACAAAGTAAAAACAATTTGTTATGGTGCTTTTTTAATGCCAGTGGGGCTTTGTTGTTTTGTATTTTTTTTTTAAAAACCAGCAAATTTTGGTTAGATTTTATTTTGGGGAAAGATAGGAAAGGCATCCAACATTAAGATGCTTTTTTGGCATTTTGTCAACAACAACAACAAAAAGTCTGGGTTTTAAAATAGAGCAGCAGTGGTTTCCTGTTCTTATAGTTTTTGCTTTTGTGCATTCAGATGTTGGCTGTATGGCACCTAGCTGCTCTAGTGAGGGATTTAATTGTCTGTGAATGTACGTGCTTCAAAGACTACTAAACCTGCTGGGAGTGTTTTATACAAGTGTGCTTTTTACACTTTTTTTTTGGTGGAAATGCCCTCCAAAAGCGCTGTGGAGGATAATGACTTTGCGATGCCCTGGGAGGACACGGCTGCTGGTGTAATGTAGGGAACTCGGGAGGAGAAAGCCTGAAACTCCCCCTAATCCCGCAAGTGAAAGACAAATCTTACCCATGGCAATCAAACAAACAAGGAGACAATCTTGCACGCGTAGATGTAGACACTGTGCAAGAGTAACCTGAGAGCAACATTTGGGTCTTACTGAAAGTATTTGAAGAAACGGGATTAAAAGAAATAGTAATCGAATCTTGTTCTGTAAGTGAACCCCAAGCCAGCACATTTATTAAGCCACTTTGAAATGGTGTTAAATCTGTATCTTCCATGCCACAAGTTGTCATGGAAGAGGAAGAGTGAAGCGTTAATAAAAATAACTTGCCTGACAGTTCAGTCCCACTCCATAGCAAAAGAATATATATGTATGTGTATATATAATTTAAATATTATATAATATATCACAATATAAATATGTATAACTTCTCTGTCTGATGAATGCCACTCAGCTGAACAACTTTGTTGACATCAGTTAACAGTATAACTGTTTTATAGAAAGCAGCCGACAGCAGTTTGCGTGCAAAATATAAATGTGGGGCTGACTGCAGGGAGCAGGCAGACAAGCGTACTTCTGGGGCTTCAAGTGACCTTGGCTGTCACAGAATCACGGAACCTGAAGTGTAAAAGGACGAACCACAATAAACTTCATAGTAGCAGGAAAGTATTTTCATTGCTTGAAAAAAAAAATAAAATTCAAACTTTGTCATCACATTAAAAACATTACATGAGAAGTAATAAACATATTTACACTTCTGTTTTGATTATAAATATACATTATATACAAAATAATGTTATAAAACGTAGAAAGTTCAGTGCTTCTGATTTTTTTTTTTAAATTACTGAAATACTAGTCTTCAAAATAAACTACAAACAGACAAACTAAAACCCATATTATTGATTTCTGAAGGTCATCTTCAAAATGGTCCTACGTGGTCAGAGCAGAAGGTCAGTAGTGGACATTATGAAGGGGTCTTGTCTGCACAGTTCAAGGCAGTAGATGGGCTAGTCCAACAACAGGATTTACAAGGGCAGGAATATCGCTGTCCTCTGGACAGCATGGACCAGGTTTCTTCGAAGAGATCTTGTTTCCTCCCTCCTCATGCTGCCCCACCCCACAGTCTCATCTCATTAGTATCACAGCACTTTCCACTGGGGTGTCCGCTATTATTGCTGTAAATACGTATATAAGAAAAGAGCTTCAGCACACCTCTGGTTTCCAGGGGCAGGCTTCCCCTTTTCTCTGTAGCAGTGGGTGGGTGTGAAAGAAACAGGATGAGCCTAGAACCTTCTAACTCTAATCTCCAACTGTCTTGGCAGAGGGTGTCTTAGTGGGTGCTTCGCTGTTGGGCATTTGGAACCGGGATGAAGGACAGGAGTTGGACTTTTGCAACCAGATAGGGGAATGGGTGGGGGAGTGGGGGTGTCACACTGCTTCTTCTCCTTCAGAAAGTAACAGCTGCAATTTTGAGACTATTTGCAGTAGAAGGTGGCACCTAATTCAGAAACACGACATAAACCCCCAAATTTGTGTCAAAATAAGGCAGGGGGGAGAGAATGAGGAAGGAGAAGAATTAGGTAATGTCTATTCACAATCACTGGTAGTGCAAAGGGCATGAAAACAGCTGAGACAGCTCAGCACATAAAGGTTCTAGGAGCTGATTGATTTTAAACGCATTTGTAAGGCTTTAAATAGAGCTGGGATCACGCCTCCTCCTTATCAATGGGGAAGAGGCAGTACACATTCCTTATTACAACTTTTCCTTCTCCAATGTTTAAATCCACAGAAATCGTGTCCCATATTGTGGCTTGGGTCAATCAGTTCTCCAAAGCATCACCAAATGAGATGACATGTAAATTCGGTATTCCTCTTTCCTTCCTCCTCTCGCCCCTTACACAGTCTCCAGTACATGCAGTAGGAGAGAGGAGACGCAAATAGATGTGTAGCAGGAAGTATCAACCACCCCTGCCCAATACTGTTCAGGTAACTGCAAAAAGAGCAGTCAAGTCTCTGTTCGGGCTTGTTAGATTCTCTTGACACATTTTAGGCACTTTTAAACCCAGAAAAGAAAATGGAGACCTCGTTTATACTGTATCCATTATCTGCAGAGCAACGCGTCTTTCTTCACACCTTCCGTGGCAACATCTGTGATAGTTACGTGCCTCCTCATCTACAGGCACCTCTCATAACCAGAGTTCTAGAAAGCCAGGGGTCTGTCCATGAGGAACTGGCCTCAGTATCTTTTAAAAACAAATTAAAACGACAACATTTTTAACCCCTCTCTCTTCCCTCTGCCTCCCCTCTTCTATAGCCAATGAGATTTCTGGTATCAAACTTCAAACAAGGGCAGTAAGAACAAAAAGGTGTATTGCATCTTTCAGTAAATTCACAGTCTGTCCAGTTCACCCAGTTCCATCCTCCGCCTGAGAGCAGCAAGTTGCATGTAATTAAAAACAGTCCGATCCAGTTCTGAATTGTAAACAATGCAGCAGGAACGTCCATTTACTGGCATTACCAAATCTGAGGTGCAAATGGGCTGATCTTCTGTCTTATACCTGTCAGGATACAAAATAATACCAGGAATGAGAAGGAAGCACAGCGTACAGAGTACTGCTGAACTAACAAATTGTAATTCAACTATGTCAAAGCGAAGCAATTAAAGCCAGACATTACTGCAGTTTAACTATCAGCGTCCAATGTTTTTGTCTGGGTCCAGAGATCGAGAATCACCAGTGATTAAAAGTCATCTGTGTGATGCGTAATCTCTCTACCTGGGCCAAGGGGAAGAATACTTACAAATCTGGGTGCTTAACATTAGGTCTCTGTAAAAGACCTAAAGTTAAATAGCTTGTGCTCAGAAGCATTACCCCTGAATGACGTGGAGAGAGGTTTCAGGAGCTATCATTCTGAAACTAAAAACACTTCTGTAGATGCCTGATGTAAATCTGGGAGTCTAGCTTTGGTCAGCAAGATCTTCAAAGGAAGATACGGTATTTAGGTCAGTTAACGGGAATAAAGCGTCTGCCTGTCATTTGTATCTTTGAAAATCCATTCACTTAGTCTTAAACTTTTAATATTGTTGGTTGACTTGTGTTCCACCTTGCCTTCAAGAGGAAATCTGATAGCCACCCTGGCAGGGGAGACAGAATCCTGCAGATCTGTCTTCACAGATCACCGCTGTATGGCACAGCAAGCTTCTCTTTCCTGGAGTCTGAAACTAATCCTAAAGATGGCTGCACTGAAGAAAGGTACTGGCTATTGTCAAATCACCTTTAACTTCAATTTAGCCTTTGTCCAAAGGGTCAGTAATTCTTCAGGAACCGGTCGGTTTCTCAACAGCTGCTTTTTAAAGTTCAGTGCTAGGCCCTTCTTTTTTCATGTATCTGTCCTCTGACCTTTCAATATAACGTTAAAATCTAGATGTGTTTATCAATAACAACGTTAAATTCTGTTAGAGAATATATAGCTGGAGCTTAAACGCCAAGAGGTTGAAATGACCTTATTACAGACTTCCTAAATGGCCGTTATGCCTATCCATTAACACCTTCCAACTTCTGCTGGGAATCTATAGCTTTGCCTGTTTCCACAGAACACAGATTATCCATTGTAGTCATGGGAAAAAAACGTGGCTTATTATTTCCATTTTTACTAACTACCTATTTAAGAGGAAATAATCCTACAATGTGCTGAATTGTTATGGGCTGATGGTCTGTGCTTTCATCTCCTGCTGACTTATCTAAGCTCAAAATCCCTGGTTTAATAAAATGAGAGCTGCTAATTTCTTGATTTTCCCCACTGTATGTTCTGTGTGGGCCACAGAAGAGGAGAGGTGAATGCTCGGAAGCATCAGGATCCCTGGAAATAAAGTGACCTTCTCAAATGCAATTCTAAAGGATAATTTACCCCTTTAGGTTGTGAATTTAGGCCTGTCCACCTGTGTACTTACCTCTGTGGCTATGATGCACTCATTCCTTTCTTCTGTTATCACAAAGACAGACTGGTACATTGAATCCCTCGGAGAGCATATCGCTGATATCCTACATTCCGGCTTTTCACTAAGGCAGGGAAGAGATAAAAGAACGTTAGTTGACTACTAACAAGCCTGACTCTCAAAATCTACCATGAATATGGAGGGGTGGAATGAGATAGCTTTGAAGGTGTGAGAGGGAAGTGGAGAGGATGAAGTTTCACATGTTCCATATGACGGCAGGACATTATACTAGAAAAGCAGAAGTAAGGAATAGCTACTGTCTTCCTATGCTTCTGCCGTGTCCAACCTAATAGTGTGCTCCTAAGATCCCTCAGTGTGACAGCCACAAGCAGATCCCAGGCAAAACTTTCAAACTTTCAGTCTACTTTCATAAGACTAATGAGCCAGTGAACACCTGTCCTTTTTTTTGAAAGAGTAGTTATTTTTACTCTATTGTTTTTCTCAGTAAGCAGATAATTTTGCCTTCTTAATAAGTGAAATACTTATTTTTAATCACTATATGCCTTAACTGTTGTTCCTCCAAGATCTAATTGAGGAAGGAAAGACACATCTTACTTTCACTACTGACCTAGCTGCTCTGGTTCCCTGTCACAGTACCCATACTAGCAGCACCCTGTACAAACACTCAATTTAATTGCCTTAGCTAAGGATACCACTTGGCTGTGACACACATACTCCAGTATGAAGATGCCTGGCTTTGCTCTGGTTTGTTTTGTATGTTATCCGCTTGAGGTTTCTTTTTTCCCCTCGTATTTTCTCATGTGCTTCTAGATGAGTATGAAGATGAGGGGCCTTAAGACAGACTAGGAGGACTGCATTCTCACCTGTGTAGTCTGAGGGGAGACTTTTCTCCTAAACACTTTTCACTTTTGTAGTATTTATCTTCCTGTGTCCCTCTACTTGTCAGGTCTTTTACCAGATTGTAGTCCAGTTTATGATTCTTGGGTTTGTAGTTTGATTTCTCCAGCCCACAGTCCACTTCGAGGTCTTTATTTTTATTGGTGTTTTTGAGCTGGGAAGCTGGAATGAGATTGTCCTTCTGGAAGTCAGACAGGTTGTTCATTGTCTCCGAGTCCTGCTCTGGGTGCATCCTCATCTGCCTGATGACCATTGCTATCATGCAGAACAGTATGAGCAAAGCCACCAGCCCCACCCCCATGGATATAGCAATCCAGGGGACTGGTTTAGGAGGAAGCGTAACAGGCACTGAATAAACTGGCAATTCGCAACGGTTGCCCATGAAGCCAGAAGGACAGTAGCAGACAAAGTTGGCACTATAAAGTCCGCTGTAGCATGTGCCTCCATTCTCACATGGCCCAGAAGCACATTCATCTCTGGTTTTGATGTCACAGTTCCTGCCACTGTAGCCTGGCAAGCACGTGCAGGTGTAATCGTTGATCAGGTCATGACAAGTTCCCCCATTGGAACATGGGTTTCTGGCACAATCATTGATGTTTATCTCACATTTCTGACCAGAGAAACCAGCCCGACAACGACACACACGAATCTGACCAAGGTAAAAGCAATTACCATCTGAGGAAAAAAAATAAAATAAAAAAATTAGTCTGCAATGCACGTCACTCAGAAACCTAAGTCTCTCCCGGGTTAGCATTTTATACCATCTCAAAAAGAGGGAAGTTATTTTACAAAACAACTGCACATCTAAAAGTTCCTTCTAGTTTACCTAATTGTATCACCATGCCTTAAAAATAGGCTCCATTTATATGTAATAAAGTTAATTCAATTTACTTAATTCTGCCATCTTCCCCATTACATGATAAACCTTGTGCATTGTTTCATTGTGTAGAAAATGCAGCGAAAGCTCCCCTCCCACTCCCCCAGCAAGAGACTAAAATTAGGGTAGATGTAGAGTACAGTGGGGAAGAGGGACTAATGTATTAGAGGAAGAGTAGAGGTCAGATTGGATTTCTATCACTTCTGCACTGAAAAGCACAAATGAGTCAGAGACACGAGATTCTTTTGATAAAAAGACTCACCATTCGCACACGGGTTGCTTGTGCACCTGTCTACTTTTTTTTCACAGTTTGACCCTGTGAAGCCGAAAGGGCAAACGCAAGTGTAGCTGGCCCCTTGTTCTTTTTCCAAGCATGTACCACCGTTAAAGCATGGAGAATCTATACACGTCAAAGCGCTGTGCTCACAGTGAGTGCCGTAGTAGCCAGGGGGGCACAGGCAGTGATAACCGTTCTCCATATCCTGCAAAACACAACATTAGGCCACTGTTATTTGATGGTACCAAATGATAACTGCTTGCATGCTGATTTGTGGTTGTCAGTGAGCGCTGTTCAGTCCCTTGCTCTCCACATTCTGATGTGGCCAAAGCGACATTTGGAGAGTAAATAACTGCAGGCTGGACTGTGAAGGATAGAGCTGTGAATCAGCCATACTCAGCGTGTAAGAGTAATCACGCAGCTGCACAAGCAGAGCAGATGCAGTTGTAGAGAGCCTACAGGCAGCTAAACAAAATGACTACTAACACCAGTACTGTCCAATGGGACCCCT